TTAGGAAGTTTTTCCTAATGTCTAACCTAAATCTCCCTTGCTGCAATTTAAGACCATTACTTCTTGTCCTGTCCTGTCCTGTCCTCAGTGGTTAAGGAGAACAATTTATCACCTGTATCATTATAAAAACCTTGTACATACTTGAAGAGTGTTATCATGTGTGTCGTCCCCCCTCCCCCAGTCTTTTCTTCTCCAGACTTCACAAACCCAATTTTTTCAGTCTTTCCTCATAGGTCATGTTTTCTGACCTTTAGTCATTTTAATTGCTGTCTTCTGGACTTTCACCAATTTGTCCACATCTTTCTGAAAGTGTGGTTCCCAGAACTGGACACAATACTCCAATTGAGGCCTTATCAGTGCTGAGTAGAGTGGAAGATTTACTTCTGATGTCTTGCTTACAAAACTCCTGTTAATATATTCCCAAATAATGTTTGCCTTTTTTGCAACAGTATTACATTGTTGACTCATATTTAGTTTGTGATCAGCTATAATTTCCAGGTCCATTATTGCAGTACTCCTACCTATGCAGTCATTTCTCATTTTGTAATTATGCAGTTGATTATTCCTTCCTAAGTATAATAATTTGCATTTGTCCTTATTGAATTTCATCCTGTTTATTCCAGACCATTTCTCAAATTTGTCAAGATCATTCTGAATTTTAATTACATCCTCCAAAATGCTTCCAGCCCCTCCCAGTTGGGTATCATCCACAAACTTTATAAGTGTACTCTATGCATCATTTATGAAGATATTGAGTAGAACCTGACCCAGGATATATCCCTGCAGGACCCCCCTTGATATGCCCTTCCAGCTTGATTGCGAACCACTGATAACTAATCTCCTGGTATGCTTTTCCAGCCAGTTGTGCACCTACCTTATAGTAGCTTCTTCTAGGCTATATTTCTCTAGTTAGTTTTATGAGGTCATGTGATACAGTGTCACAAACCTTACTAAAATTGAGATGAATCGTATCTACTGCTTACCCCCATCCACAAGGCTTGTTACCCTTTCAAAGAAGGATATTAGGTTCATTTAACATGATTTGTCCTTGACAAATCCGTGTTGTCTGTTACTTATCTCCTTATTGTCTTTTAGGTGTTACAAATTGATTGAGTATTTTCTCCATTATCTTTCTGGGTATAGAAGTTAAGCTAAGTAGTCTAAAATTCCCTGGGTTGTCCCTATTCCCCTTTTTATAGCTAGGTACTGTGTTTGCCCTTTTCTAGTCCTCTGGGATCTGTCCCATCCTCTACAAGTTCTCAAAGATAATCGCTAATGGCTAGCTCACAGATCTCTTCAGTCAGTTCCTTAAATATTCTAGGATGTATTTCATCAGTCCCTACCGGCTTGAAGACATCTAACATGTCTAAGTAATTCATAACTTGTTCTTTTCCTATTTTAGCCTCAGATCCTTCCCCATTTACACCGATTTTCACTGTGTATATTTTCCAATCACAGCTAACCTTTTTTGGTGAAACAAAAAAGGCATATAACACTTCAGCCGCTGCTGAGTTTTCTGTTGTTGTCTCTCTCTCCTGGTTGAGTAATGGGCCTACCCTGTCCTTAGTCTTTCTCTTGCTTCTAAAGTATTTGTAAATGTTTTGATGGTATCCTTTGTGTCCCTAGCTAGTTTAATTTCATTTTTTGTCTTCACCGTTCTACTTTTGTCCCTACTTGCTTGTGCTGTTTTTTTATATTCATCCTTCATAATTTGACCTAGGGTTTCCACTTTTTATAGGACTCTATTTTGAGTGTCAGGTCATTCAGGATATCCTGGTTAAGCCAGGGGGTCTCTTCCTAGCTTTCCTATGCATTGTGTTTGTTTGCTTTTGTGCCCTTAATAATGTCTCTCTAAAATACTGCCAATTCTCCTGAACTCCTTTTTCCCTTAGGGATCTTACCTACCAATTCTCTTAGTTTGCTGAAGTCTGCCTTCTTGAAGTCCGTTGTCTTTATTCTGATGTTTTCCATTTTACCATTCCTTAGGATTGTGAACTCTTATCATTTCACGATCACTTTCATATAAGTGGCCTTCTTCCTTCAAATACTCAACCAGTTCCTCCCTTTTTGACAGCATCACATCTAGAATAGCCTCTTCCCTCATCGCTTTCTCCGTGTTCGGAAATAAAAAGTTGTCTGCAGTGCATTCCAAGAACTTGTTGGGTAATCTGTACCCTGCTGTATTATATTCCCAACAGATGTCTGGCTAGTTGAAGTCCACCCATCACCAACAAGTCCTGTGTTTTGGATTATTTTGTTAGTTGTTTTAAAAAAGCCCCATTCACCTCTTCTTGCTTATTAAGTGATCTATAATAGACACCTCTCATGACATCACCCTTGGTTTTTTATATCCCTTTTATCCTTACCCAAAGACTTTCAACGGGTCTGCCTTCCACTTCTATTGCAACCTCAGTGCAACTGTATGCATCTTTCAAATACAAGAAAACACCTCTCTTTTTTCCCTGCCTGACATTCCTGAACAAGCTGTACCCTTCTATGCCAATAGTCCAGTAGTGAATTATCCCACCAAGTTCTGTGATGCCAATTATGTCATAACTGTGATTATTCACTAGTATTTCTAGTTCTTCCTGTTAATTCCCCATACTTGTAGCATTAGTATACAAACATATAACATGGTCAGTAGATTTCCCCTCTATATTCCTTCTTGTTTCTCCTTTGTCCTTGCTGTGATTGCCCGTGTTCCTCCCAGCTTCCAACCCTTCCTCAAGGTCTCCATGTTTTGGATTTACCTGTGGGCTTTTGTCTCCTATTCCTGTCGAACCTAGTTTTAAGCCCACCTTAGAATCATAGAATATCAGGATTGGAAGGGACCTCAGGAGGTCATCTAGTCCAACCCCCTGCTCATAGCAAGACCAATCCCCAACTAAATCATCCCATCCAGAGCTTTGTCAAGCTTGATCTTAAAAACCTCAAAGGAAGGAGATTCCACCACCTCCCTAGGTAACCTTACCAGGTTAGCCAGTCTGTTTCCAAAGATACTCTTCTTCCTTGATAGGTGGACCCCATCTCTGCTCAGTGGTCTTTCTCGAAAGAGCATCCCATGGTCAAGGAAGCTGAAGCCCTCATGGTGACACCATCTGTGCAGCCATGCATTTACTTCCTGGATGTGTGTGTCTGTGCCTGAGCCCATGCCCTTGACTGGAAGGATCAATGAGAACACCACCTGTGCCCCCAGTTCCTTCACCCTCACTCTCAGAACATTGTAGACACTTCTGATCTGCTCAGGGTCATATGTTGGTGTATCATTAGTGCCCACATGTATGAGCGGCATGGCATAACAATCAGGGTTGGATGATCCTCGGCCATCCTTCTGTAGTACTTAGTCCTGCCTCAGTGCAGGGGACTGGACTAGATGACATGTCCTACATTTCTTGCAGCCCTACATTTCTGTGATTCTATGATTATTTCATAGTCCAATTCAATGGACTAAAAAAAAAATTCTTATCAATCTGTTTAAAAACACAACCATATTAAATCTTCTATTATAAAGCTGTCCTTTGAAATTTAAAATGTGTAATAATTTTAACTAATTTATATAGCATCATAGAGTTTAAGGCCAGAAGGAACCACCAGACCATCTAGTCCAGTGGTTCCCAAACTTGGTTCGCGGCTTGTTCAGGGTAAGCTCCGGCGGGCCGCAAGATGCTTTGTTTACGAAACAGAGCGTCAGAAGGTACGGCCGCTTGCAGCTCCCAGTGGCCCAGTTTGCCGATCCTGGACAATGGGAGCTGTGGGAAGTGGTGGCACGACCCCATATATGGAGATCAGTTAGACCCTGAGCATGTAAGCTTGATTTAGTTGGGGATTGGTTCTGCTTTGAGCAGGGGGTTGGACTATATGACCTCCTGAGGCCCCTTCCAGCCCTGATATTCTATGATTCTAAGCAAGAACCAGCCAGCTAAGTACCTGAGAGAGAGAATGCTCAGAGCTCTGGCCCTCCCTGTCCAATATCCCATCTCCAGGTGTGGCCATCCCTGATGGTTCAGAGGAAAGAGATTAAAAAAAAAAAAAACCCCATCACCCTTACAGAATACATAGAGGGGAGGGGAGAGGACGCTTCCTGACCCTTGCAGGGTTGTAATTTGTTTGCAATAGATGAAAACAATATACACATTTTGATTGATGATTTTTTCCATAACAGTTACAAGTTATGATTGTCATTTTTCCCTCTCAAAGAAGATCCCTGTAATTATCTTTACCTTCTCAGCCTCAAAGGTCTGGGTGCTGACTGTCTTCTCAGGAGAGGCTGTTGGCACCTGCTAGTGCTAATGATTTGAACAAATGATTGACTGCAGAGATGAGAGGCACTTTTTCCTCAGTTCCTTCCAAGGCTAAGCACAATTCTTTCATAGGAATCTCAGTTCTTGTTGGTCCAGAATACAACACCAAACATGAATTCCAAACTCCAGTCCCCACATACTAGTACATCTGAGCTACTGATAGACCACAGAGTTAATAATTTTGTTCTTAGCACATAGAACTTAGCAATTTACAATCTGTATGAGAATCTTTCTTGTAAATTTTACATCATCCAATGCAAACTATTTATTTTCTTTAATCTGCAAATAGCAAAATTATTATTGTGGAGAGTTGTACTTGTGAATGGATGCTTAAGTTAGCAGTATCTTAATAAAATATCTGTTACATATTAGATATCTTCAATCTTGAGTGAAATATTAGGGAAAGATTAAAATCATAAGTCAAATGTTTCACTGGTGATACAGGATGGGAATGGGTGAATTTTCAACTTCTAAAATTATGAGGCTGTAAGACATTTTAATAATCTAATTTGCAGTTATTAGAAACACAGGTAAGGAAACCTGAGTGTCACTTTAAATTCTCATAACTGTCAGCTAATGATTTTGATGCCTCCAAGTTTTTAAGAAACTGGATGAAGTGTCAAACCAATGTTGTTTATAGACAATAAAAAACATGCCATGGGTACTAATTGTTCTACTTCTACTTCTTGTTTGTACTAGCAAAAACCCGTGCTGCGGATTTATTGGTGAATCCCCTGGATCCAAGAAATGCAGATAAAATTAGAGTTAAAATTGCTGATCTGGGAAATGCTTGCTGGGTAGTAAGTATAAAAATCTTATTTTAAGTTTTTAGCCTTCATTATTGAGAACAAACCTTTTTATTGTTAGTTTTTTTTCCATTAATGCCATTCTTTCCATTTTAGCATAAACACTTCACTGAAGACATCCAGACAAGACAGTATAGATCCATAGAGGTTTTAATAGGAGCAGGTTACAGTACACCTGCAGATATCTGGAGTACAGCCTGTATGGTAAGAACAAGAATATGCTGTTATTTTATTATGTCAATCAAACTTTATTTTACTAAATAAAATTCATTGAGAACACTTGCTTATTTACAGTGTGGACCTGGCTATAAGGGTTCTTCTTATAAATTAAGTAATCACAGGAGCAATGCTATAACTGAGATAATAAACATATTTTCACTATAAGTTTGATATTTTTTTCCCACCTCAACTTCTCCAACATTCTCAAAGTAGTAGCTTCCAGTAATTGTCCTTGCATGGTCTTTTGGCACAGAGGAATGTTTTGCGGAAAGTTTCATTCTTGTTCGAGTAGATGCAGCCATGTATTCTATGCTGGTGTGTGTGCCTTGCATACTGGAACCAGAGAACTTAGCCTAGCAGTATCCATTGGGGCGGCACTGATGTTCTGTGGCCGTAACCCCTCCTCATGTCATATAAAGGTGGTGCTGCCCTGACGCCCTCTGTTTCTTGTCACTGCCCATGGCTAGAGTCGGAGCTCTGTGTGTTGACTTCACCTCACACTTCTGCTTTCAGTTTTCTGAGAACTTTTCTTGTATAGGTTTAGTTTAAGTGTTAGTTTATTGTTAGTAGATTAGTTGGCTAATGCCATTTGATGTCCTAACGAGAGTTTAAGCATTCTCCATTGTGTAGGGGGGCCATCCCGAACAGTGACCCTCCCACACATAGGTTGCTTGTTGTTTCTTGGTGATGAACACAGAGAGAGGTGCTCCATCTGCAAGTCGTTCACAAAGCGGACTCAGGTGGCGAGAGACTTGTGGTTGAGGCAGCACCTTCTGAAGCAGTCCCCCTTTGGCACCAAGGCCTTCTTCTGATCAGCGGCTGCCTTCGGATGTGACAAGCGATGCCACCCCATGCTCGGGCTCAGGTGTTTTTCCCAAGAGGAAAAGGTTGTTTACCCTCCTCTGGTGCAGCAAGGAAGAGGTCCCATAAAATGAGTTGGGACCGTTTCAGGTCTCAGGGTAACTCCTGCTCCAATTTTAGGAGGAGTGCTGACCAGCGCTGTACTCACTCTGGAAGGTGGGATGGAGCAACTGTTCAACTGCTACCCGGTACCATGCTGAGAACAGTGAGGGCCTGTCCTGTCGACTCCGGTTCTGGCCACGGGGCATCTGTTGAGTCCACTATCAACAGCACTGGCAACATTACTGACCATGTCCATGCCAACAGCATACCAGGTGACATCAGACCTGCTTTGCCTCTTGATTCCAGACTCTCTGCTGGTTCAGGAGTTATCTGGTGCTATGGCATCTACCAGCTTGTCCTCTGTTCTGCCCTTGGTACCTTCTCGCCGTGTCAAAGAGCTGCTGGGTCCCTCAAAACTGCGGCTCACACTGCCTCAGTAGCAGACTATAGAGCTGAAGTCAGGCCCTGGACCAAAAGCTCCCTCAATTCTGATGCATCCTTTGGCAACATCATTGTCTTGGTGGCAAATCCCATCAATGATGTTGTTACCAGCACCTCTCCTGGTACTGCACGGAGTGTCTCTCATTTGGTGCATCTGGTGCTGTTTCCCCATTCACCTTTGGCACCGATGTTTCCTCCTTATTGGGCTTTAGATAATTTTGATTGGTGGTTTTCCCCTTCAGGGCTGGCTTCCACATTGTTACCACAACACCTCTGGGATTCCTCAAGATCCAGGTCGAGGTCATTCTCCCCATCCTCGTCAGATAGGTGCCAGAGATCACCCTCAGATCAATATTGGTATTGAGATTGGGCATCTGTCCTGCAGTCGGGAGAAGGCTCTTGGCACGGTGCCTTACCTGAATGTCCTGTGGCCTCCTGGGAATCAGGAGCAGCAATACTGCTTGTAATGTTGCTGCAGCTGGTCTACTCCGGAAAGAGTCATAGATCCCAAGGAGAAGGCCTTCTGGTTGTTGGTTTAACCAGCCGCCCCCTCCCCCTCTGCAGCATATAACAAGTGCCGTTTTGACTCGTGTCAAGCACAGTGACCCAGTGGTACCCTCTCCCTCTTTGTCCCGTTCCCCCCACCCCACATCCCACCCTCGATTCAGAGACAGGCTGGCCTGCTTTTTATAGTGTTCGGGACTCAGTTACAGTGGACAACCAGGTCCTAAACACCTTCAGGTCAGGTTGCCATACAGTTCCTCTCCATCCCTCTTCTCCACATCCCTACCCAATCCCTTTTCAGGGACCCCCTCTCATGAGTTGCTGCTCTTTGAGCAGGTTCATTATTTATTGGTTTTGGGGGGCACAGAGGTGGTCCCCCTGCAACACTGAGGGCAGAGATTCTACTCCCAGTATTTCCTGGTCCCCAAGTCCAAGGAAGCAATGGGACCTATCCTCAACCTCCATGATCTCAACAAATACATCAGATATGTGAGATTCCATATGGTCACTCTATTAAACTATCCTCCTGGCCTTGAATCACAATGGCTGGTTTTCAGCCCTGAACCTGCAGGACACTTATTTCCACATTGCAATCCTCCTGAGCCACAGGAAGTTTCTTAGATTCGTCATGGATAGCCACCCTATCAATACACCATGCTGCTTTTTGGCCTCTTTTCTGTTTCCCTGCTTTTCATCAAGTGTATGATTGTGGTAACCGCGTATCTCAGGAAGAAGGGAATTCATACCTTCCCATATCTGAATGATTGGTTATAGAGGGGCAAGTCCAGCAAGGAAGTCCTTTCTTATGTTCACTTCATGCTACGCCTACTCAAACATCTAGGTCTGATCCTGAACAGCAGGAAAGCAGTATTGCTTCCAACTCGAAGAATCAAGTTAATTGGGGCCCAGATAGATTCTACAAGGTCAGGAGCGTTTCTACCGACTGAGCAATTCCAGGTGATCCATCACCTATGTCTTAAGCTGCAGTCTCAACTCTTAACCGCAGCCTGAGTATGCCTGAGGTTGCTACGCCATATGGCCACATTTATCCAGGTAGTCCAATATGCGAGGCTGCACCTGTGTCCTCTTTAGATGTAGCTGAAGTTGGTCTATTGTCCAAATCGCTGTCCCTTGAGCACGATGATCGGACTCCTCCCACCAATCCTGGGTTTCTTACAGTGGTGGACAATTCTTGACAAAGTGTGCCGGGGTGTTCCTCTCACTCAGCCACCACTAACCAGGACCACAGTCACCGATGCCTCCTGAATAGGTTGGGGAGCGCATTTGGACTCATTGAAAGTTCAAAGCCTGTGTTCAGAGTGAGAAGCTTCTCTGTATAACAGTGTTCTGGAGCTTCATGCCATCTATGATGCCTGCCAGACCTGTTAGGATCAAGGGTGCAGCATTTCTCATACTCTCTGGCAATACCACCATGATGTATTATGTGAACAGGTGAGGGGAGCACATTCCAAAATGCTTTGTCAGGAGGCAATCAGTCTCTGGCATTTTTTCATCCAGCAAAACATCCCCCTTGGCTGATCACTTGGGTTCCAGAATCAATTGATGAATAACCTCAGCAGGAATTTCTCATTGATTCAAGAGCTGTCTCTAAAGCCCAGTATCCTGCAGTCTGTCTTTGATGCTTAGGGTATCCTGACGATCAACTTGTTTGGCATAAGAGAAAACAAGAAATGCCATCTGTTCTGTTCTTGAGGTCATCTCAGTCTAGACTCCTTGACCAATGCTTTTCACCTGAGCTGGGAATCGGCACTCCAATGTGCCTTTCCTCTAATTCCAGACATCCGACAGGTCATTTTCATGCTGAAATTGGACCATGTCAAGCTCATTCTTATTGCGCCAGCGTGGCGAAGACAATGTTGATTCTTCGACCTCACATTATCGTTTCAGCCTTCCATATTCCTTCCTCTTCATCCTGACCTCCCAACCCAGCATTGCGGTCAAGTTTTGCATCCAACACTCAGTTCCCTGCATCTCTTCATGGGTGCTGCATGATTAGATGAGGAAAAGGAACGATGTTCAGTGGCTCTTGCTTAATAGTTGGAAGCCTTCAACCACGGTGGCCTATTCGGACAACTAGAAGCTGCTCTCAGTATGGTCATTAACCAGGGGAGTTCAGCCAATGCTGGCTTGTATCCAGGACATCTTGGAGTACCTATTACACCTTCAGTCTTGTGGTCTTGCACTTATTTCACTGCAAATCCACCTGGCAGAGATTTTGGCATTTCATCCACCTATCTATGGGAAGTCAGTGTTTTCAAACTCCATGGCAGTGAGGTTCTTGAAAGGAGTCCCTCAACTCCACCCACTGGTTAAAGAGCCGGTTCCTTTGTGGGTTTTTAATACTGTTTAGCGGCTCGTATAGGACCTCCATTCAAGCCCCTGGCAATTTCTTTCTCCATTGTGTCAGAAAACTGCCTTCCTTGTGGTGATAACATCTGCAAAGAGTGTGTGTGAGTTGCAGGCTTTGATGGCAGAGCCTTCTTACATGCAGTTTTCCAAAGGCAAAGTAACCCTTTGGCTGCACCCTTTGTTTTTATCAAAGGTGATTTCGCAGTTTCACTTGAATCAAGTAATACGTCGATCGTGTTCTTCCCTAAGCCTCTTCCAACCCCAGAGGAGCAATGTCTTCAACATTACATGTCAGGCAATGTCTAACATTTTATATGGATAGAAGTAAACCTCTCTGTCCCTCACCTCGTCTGTTTGTTTTACATGCAGACTGAATAAAGGGTCAAGCAGTCTCTTCACAGACTATGTCTGTGGATAACTTCCTGTATCATGACAGCATATGAAGTAACCCAGGCTATGCCTACTCAAGGAGTACCAGCTCATTCCACGAGAGCTCAGGTGATGTCAGTGGCATTTCTAAAGGAAGTTCCTATATTGGGCATCTGCAGGGTGGCCACTTAGTCCTCTATATACACTTCTTTGCAAATAACTATGCTGTTACAGCTGCATCCAGATCAGATGCAAACTTCAGGAAGGCAATCCTGCAGTTCTTTAAATAGACTCCAAGCCCCACCTCCTGCGAGTACTGCTTGCAAGTCACCCACTTGGAATATGCAACTACTTGAAGAATTAAAAACGGTTATCTACCTGTAACTGTTCTTCTTTGA